TTTTCTGCAAGAAGTCTCAAAATGCCTGTCTCCTGCCTTCATGTTGACTTTCAGAGGCTATAAGTTTCTAAAACCAGGTCTCACTAGTAATTGCCTGGCTGAGCTTTGTAATGTGTCCCCAAATCCCATTGCACCTGATATTTTGTTTTGCTCAGAGGGGGTCTGCAGCTCATGAAGGCTGTAATCCGACTGGGATATGGCTCTCCTTTATAGTCCCTGCAAACAAGACAAAATGTGTTTGTTTTCCTGTTTTCTGGTCTCTGGCCAGGACACAATAAAATAAACACAAAGCCTCACAGAATAGAAAACCAACTAACTAAAAGAAAAAAAGTCATAAAACACACTCTTTGAGTTCTATATATAACCTTTTAACCTATGATCCCAAATTGCTTTTTACTAACATTTTGTAAAATGCTCTTCTAAACTCACTTACTGGAGGCTATGCACTCACTTATTAAAAGCTAGYAGAACTAGTTGTGTGAAGCCTCTGGCAAAATCAGTATTTAAAAAAAATTCCCAGACTYRTTCAAAAGAGGCAAAACACATTGTGACACTGACATTTCAAATTCATTACTGCTCAGTGTCTGTTGAACAAAARCTATTGGCTGTAGAGGATCTGAAAAGCATAGGGTTTCAATAAAGAGGAAGTGTTGTATATTGTATTGTCATCTTGTAATGAGAGCTGTGGTAGTATAAAGCCTTTAAAAATTTGTTTTTCCTTTAGGTTAAGGGTTGCTGTATTTTTGGTGAGGCAGGACAGGACATGCTTGAATTTATACTTCAATAAATAAGAAAAAGTTCTCCCGATATCACTAGGATTAAACAGAGGTGAAACAGRGTAGACCTGCCATCACTGAGAAATAATATAGCAAAAAGTTCCTACATATGTGTGTGGAAATATATTATAGGGCATGTACAGAAATTATTTCCATGTCCAAATGAATAAAAACCATMGTTTAAGAAAATAATAATAGCAATTAGAATGATATAAAGATTGAAGGTTGAGAAATAGAAGAATATACTTAAACACATAATGCCATGCTGATCATCACACCCTATCTGAAGTAAAATAAAAAATTAGTTGATGTTGTACCCTGCTAAATTTGTTAGAATTTGTTCAARGATGATGATAAAGCCTGTCTGGTAAACAGCAGTGTGTGGGCTTTCTCTGCTGGTGGTCCTGCACTCCTGACCACAAGTCTTTCCTTAGAGRGGCTTGAGCATCAATGACTAAAATTGCATCCCTGCTGGCTTAAGGAGCTGCTGCTAAGGCCTGATTCCTTGTTTATGGTTTTTCTGAACCATTGTAAAGTTCTGTTATTGTGSTTTTGATTTTTGTTGCTGCCAGGGTGATAAAAAGCAGTTTCAGAGCTWAAAGCCCTAGCTCTGTGCTGGGGTTAAACAAGCATTTAGCGCTTGTTTGGTCTGTGAGATTATCATCAATGAAAATAGAAAATGAACATAAATTGAGTATGTTCTTAAGAGCTTTATGTAATCAGTGTTTACATCTCTATTCATKTTGACTGAAGGCAATTTCTCATTAATTTTTATAAAACTGAGTATAATGGGAGTGTTTCATTGTATTGCCTGGCACGGAAAACATAACCAGAAAGACCCTACTAGTGTCAGGTGTGGATATGTCACATGCAGGAGGCAGCAGTTGTGACATGTGACGAATTTTTGCCAACAACCTTTTCTCCACAATTTTCTCTTTGGAAATGAAGAAAGCATTATATGGGCATGATAGGGTTGGTGTGACACTTTCTGAATATTCAGACAAAGCCTTTGTAATAGGGAAATATGTGGCACAAATGATGCTGTTGCCATTGGGCTCTGGGATTATACTCATGGCCTAGGAGTGATAGGAAGCTTTRAATTCAGTAAGGGTTGCAAGTATCTACCAGCTCTAACAGATTAAAAAAAAAAAAACAAGCATGTATAGGAGTTTTGCTCTCAAGCTTCTGTCCTTCCAGTTTTCCAGTTTGTTGAAACCTTGTAGGTTATTTCAGATAGGGTTAGAAGAGAAGTGTCCTCCAGAAGTGATGTTACTCTGTGGCTTCATCCTGAGGGCAACATTATTTCCTGGTGTGTGTATTTYCCCCATGGGAAGAATCTACCATGTTTCATTGCAGATTTAAACCCCACAACTGATAGGCATCACAAAACCTCTTGCCATTTGATGCATCTTACATAAAAGGCTACTGTGTACACTCTGCCAGCCTGTGGCAGATGGCTTTCTGTACATAACACRTAAACTTTGATGTTACTGAATTTCTGTAATTGCCATTTTATTTCAGCACAAATACACTGWCACCCATCCAATGTTTTAAATGCACAAAGCACAATGTTCACCAAAGTAATGACTTCACACATAAAAAATGACCATCAGAAACACTTAGTAGCACTCTGAGAGCACTGAGGGGATGTTTTTGAGGAGATGCTTGTTCCTATCCTAGGAGAATAGGCAGGGCAGTGTTTCATGAGCSCAGAAGAACAGCAGCCTCTTTTCTGAGCAGCTTATCTGCTGCTGGGCAGAGACATTGCTGGGGGGACCCACAAGGGGCAGCAGCAAGTGAACACCACAAAGGAATTGGTGGAGCAAGGAGGGTCCKGTGCAAATCCCACTCTCCAGCCCAGCAGCACAGTGCCTCAGTTCYCCACCCCTCACACAGCAGCACAGACACACTTCTAAAAAAGAGCAGCAGGCAAATCTTTCTGGGGAAACACAACCMCAAGCACTTTCCCAGCTATGGGTTCATTTTCAGCCCGAGACACAAAGCTAGTTCAGATTTCTGAATTTTCCCGTCCTTGTTCACATCACAGTGGTTGAGCAGGATCTGGCGGAACTTGTCCAGGTCCACTCCACTAATGCTGGGCTGCAGGCAAAGAGAAAAACAATGCTGAGAGAGAAAATGCTTCCGATTTCCCAGCTTATAAAGCAGCCCACCATGTAGCAACTGGGAAATCCACCCGAAGGAGAGTGACCAAAAGATCCCACATCAGCTCATATGTTGCGGGGAAACAAACAGAAGATGGGGAAAGGATGCCCTGCAAAAGCAGAAGGGGTATGAGACTGTGAGTAACCGTATAGAAATACACCATGACTTTTGTGCTCAGTCAAGGCCATCAGTAAAAGAAAACTTCAAAAAGTTGTACAATGCAGACCCCTGCTCTACCAGACATGTGCTTTCATCTGGTTTCCTCTCTCAAACCTGCTGTGCAAGGACTGATGTGGCATTTCTCTCCGCATACTCCTATTTTACAGGCTAGTCAGTGATGTAAAAATATCTGTTGTGGATCAAATCGGTACTGAAGACACATTTCACAGGCTACACAGTTTCTACGATCGTAATGCTGTACTGCCTGCTCTGCTTCCTTCTTTCTCAGGAGGGGATCAAATTCACATGCACAGCTTGTGGTGTCCAAGGGCAGTGCTGATGAAGGTCCTTAGGTAAAGTACAAACTACCCTCCTTTACACACACCCACACACAGCACAAATCCAGTCTCCTGCCTGTCCCCACACCCTTCCCTGCATACTACATGGCCAGAACACACACATGCAGCCATCAGCACACAGCTGCCATTCTCTGCTCTCTCCTGAATGGACATGGCAACACAGACAGGCCTGTGCCAGCTCACATTGTGTGGAAAGGCAACAGCTCMGGCTCAGAGGAAGCTAAAGATCAGATTCTTGGGTCAAAAACTCTGTCTTGGACTGCATCTGGAAACTCAAGACAATCCAATGAAGACAGACTCTTCTGTCCATCAGAAGCTGAAGAGACACACYAGGTACAGTATTCTTGATTAAAGATAGTCCTCAATTTGTTTTCAAGTGCAGCCCTTGAGATAAACTGATGAACCATGGTGAGAACCACATGCACAGGGAAAAGAGAAGAAAGAAATTGTGATGACTCATCCATGTCAACAGTTTGTCATGCTGTAACCTCTGCCTAATTTGAAGTACAAACTAGAATGGACCCTTTCAAAATACAGTTGCTGAGGTTGCTGTATTACAGTTTCTGTATTAATTTGTGAGGCAGAATTTCTGTGATATGGTGAAATGCTCTACAGTATATATGCTGAGACTGTGACATTCCTTTCTGCTGATGATCAAACTACAATTTGACTCTATGTTCTTACTAGTCTCTCTCTGTACGTAGTTTTCCAAAAGCACTGATCTTAAAGAAATACAGAGCATTAAAAAACAGAGCTATGAAAATACCTTGACAAGTTCCATCATGTCTTTGACAAACCCATCCACTTCTGGGCCTTCAAGYGCTCCTGTTTTACTCTGAAAGAAGGAATAAACATCAATACTCCCCGGTGAGCCAAAAACACTACAACGTTACTGGTCAGTACCACCAACTAGTCACTAAGCTTAATAGCATAAAGTACATRGAAYCATAAAATGGTTTGGATTGGAAGGAACATTAAAGATCATCTAGTTCCAACCATTTCACCATGGTCAGGGACACCTCCCACTAGCCCAGGTTGCTCAGAGCCCTGTCCAACCTGGCTAGGGAAGGGAAATCCACAGCTTYTCTGGGCAAMCCTGYTCCAGTGCTTCAGTACCTTCACAGTAAAGAATTTCTTCCTAATATCTARGACCYCTTTGTTTTTCCCAAGCCATCTCTTCCCACCAAATGGGACCAATGTCTCCCACCACCCTAAGGGAGTTGTGCAACTGCCAGAAGTGGCACTGAATTGCTGATATCTAACAAGCAGTTAAAGGAGCCAGGCTCCCTAAACAACCATGGGTTCAGTATTGGAAGGGGGTTTATTTTTCAACATGGTGGTGTTGCAGGTCCCGAACTGCCAGAGACTGAGAGAGCTAAAGCCACCACCTTCCATCTCCTGTAGGAAAACTGCTAATGCAGTAGTACTGGCTATGGCAATGGGGAAAGTCAAAATGGGTTCTTGCCACAAGATCTCTGAGCACTGCTCCCCTCTGTCCTTACTTTGCCCCTCTTACTCTGGCATCTGAGCTCATGGGCCAAGGGCTTGGGCACAGCTGCTTTTCCTGAGTGACTCCAACACCACTCAGCAGGAGGAATAAGTCTCAGCAACACGTACTAAATCTSTCATTTACAAAGTGCAAGGGAATGAGCGGCCTCATAGGACTCACAACGTCATAGTGTGCAAAGATCTTCTCAAAATCTCTCCTCCTTTCTTCCGTGCTGCATGCCTACATACAGAGAGGAAAACAAATGAAAAATTAAAGCAAAAATTTTGAGTTTGAATCCAGAATCTTAGCTGAGAGAGATAGGWTCAATGTATCAAAAATTAGTGCTACTTACATCCATTTTAAATTGTAGAAGGAAATTTTCCTGGAGCGCCAGAATCCTGCATGGAGAGATTTAAATTATGATCTTCTCTCTTTATCATCTGCACATAAACTGTTCTGAGCTCTCCTTGGTTGCAGAGCAAAGGGATGTTAGATTATAGGCCTATAAAAAAGAAAATTGCCTGTGGGGCTATTTATAGAGTGCTGTTAYAGGAACACATGCCTTCCTCCCTGTCTGATGGGACACAGAGGGTGCCCTTTGRCTCACCACAAACATGCCTATTAGCACCATTGCTGCTCTCAGAGCATTTCTGGTGGTCCTGCCAAGCAGRGGGTGTCAGCTTCTGAAGCAAGAACTACCAGACAGTCCTCATAAACTGATTCCTTGTAATTCCTTGTAACTGGATTGCTGTGCTGCATTAAAGAAAGAGTGATTTATGGCTCTCTGTTGGAGGGAGACTTGCTGGTTGTAAAAGTAAAGGACAAAGTAATACTGGCCTGTGCACCAAGACTGGCAGGAGCCCTCTCTTTTCATCTCCTAAAACCTGTCAAGCACTGATAAACCCTTTTCTCTCTCCAACTGCTCTGCTAACCCTGAGGTTTTTTAAAGCCCATGACACAGGGCATGCTGAGTTGTGTCCACACGTGGAGGGATTTGAAGTGTGAGAAATGTGCTCATACTTGAGAAGAGCCTCAGATGGCCTGATTCCCAGGGAACTGTATTTAAGAGGAAATTGTAACAGCAACCCCCTTTAGATATTCTCCATCCTGCCTCTGATTCTMCTCATATATTTCATTGTCTAAGGGAACTGCTGTATGCACTGCTGTTATTTGTGCTGGCATTTGTCGTCATCCCAAGCAGAAAGTAATAGTGGCACACCAGCACTCTCTCTGCTTATCATGTAAACTGGTGTTTTAAGACAGTATCTTTTAAAGCACATTTAAAGTCCTATCCAATCAAAGCACATACCTTTACAGAGAGAAGCATGCTCTCTATCTATAGGCAGTGAAAATAGTCTAAAAGCYTCTGAAGCATCAAGGACAGAAAAGAGACAGAGGCTGATGACTGAATCTCCAGCTTCATTCGCAATCATTTTATTTGACTCTCCAAATTCTTTCTTACTGCCAATGCAAAACTCTTTTGTGGTGGTACTTTATTATTATTCAAAATGCAGTAAAAATGCTTTGCAATCCCTGCTGCACATTATGATGAAAAATAAATGCATGTCTGTGACCCTCTTGAAAGGATTGTTATCCTTCTTTTGGATAAAAAAAACCACTGGTTGCTTTGCCACCTCCTGGGAAGCATCTCAGAGGTAGCCCTGATCCTGCCAGAGCACACTGATACTGTACAGACAAGTCCTGGCATTGCTCCTATCACTGACTCTAGATTCTCAGATTATTGCAGTGGGGACCATGTGTTGGAGAGGTGGGATCTGAGCAGATTTAATTCAAAAGGAGGTAGAATTCAACTGCATGTCTCTAAAGGGAGAAAACCACTTAGTCTGGATCTACCATTGTGAGCTGAAAAACCCCATCAACATTATTAAATCCTACCTTGCCAGGTCATTCAGGTCCAGCCGTCCATCTTTGTTTTTGTCAAAGATTTTCATCTATAAATCAATAAGTCAGATAAAACATATGGGTCATGAGGAGAACACACATACAAAAAAAGCCAATATACATTTTACTCTGCCCTGTACCCTCCCYTCTGCTTGCTCAAACCTCGGGCAGCATGGCATCCTGTGCTAGCACCAAGTGCAAGGGTGGCACAAGGGAATGGCAAAATCCACCAGCGTTCTGACAGCAACAAACCGAAGCAATCAAATACCAGCRCCGCTCGCTTCCCACCTTACATGGGGATAACACAGGTCTGCCACAAACACCATCAGAAACGAAATTCTGACATTGCCTTGGCCCCTGAAAAAAGTGCCAACCCTCTAAACACTTCCAGCTGGATTTCATCCTTACCTTTGACTGTTGCTGTAGCTGCTGAGCAGCTGAGGTGCAAATGTCACCTTCTAATCAGCAGTTAGGTCAGGATTTTAAACCACTAAAGCTGTTGGGTTTGCTTGGTTTAGGGCCTGCTGTCAGGATACACGAAGACTGAGAAGAAGRTTCAGGCTGCTAACATCAGGAGCTTAATCTGTGTGATTTCAAAACTTATCCTCTCCTTTTCCTGAATAACATTATTTTGATGAGCCATCAACAAAAAATATTTATTTTTTTTATTGTATTTGGTTCTGCATCTCTCTTTGAGGCACAAAACAGGGTCTGTTACAAGGAAAAGGAGGGTGTGTTTAATGAACTGCAAACCTGAATAACTCATGGCTTAAAGTTCTAGAAAAAATATATTCCACACTGGGGTGATTTGGGGGTGCAGGGGGGGGCAGACTCTTTGCCTATTTTGTTAATGCTACCTCTTCCCTGCCCCTTGCTCAAGGGCAGGTGCCATGTTGAGGACAGCAAGTCCATGGTTAGCCCTACATTTAGATTGAGATTCTGCAATAGATTGTATCCCATTATTATTCAGAGTATTTTACACTACTGAGGTTTGGGTGGGATTTTTGAAGAGGCATTTGGTATGGGCTCACTTTTCCTTCCACTGAAAGACAGTATAAAAGTCCTATGAATGATTGAAGACCCAKATTGAGATATTTGAAAAAATGACATCATGAGGGCCATGTGGGTGTTCAGTGGCACAAGGAAAGCCATTTTCCCATTTAACTGACTCTGACAAACATGTGCTCTGTGCAGAGCCACTAAATGACAGAGGAAAGACTTCTGRATCTTCCTTTGCTTAAGAGCTGGAGAGATGAATAAAGATGCCAAGATGTCCTGAGGACTTCCCTCTGATYGCATCAGTCCAAGTTGCTCCTTTCCAACTGATCTAACTTCTTGCATGCTGCTTCCTGCCCCATTAGCTCTCCCACAGCAATGTGGCACTTTTTCCTGGTCTCTGCTGGAGCTCCAAAGGTTGGAGGAAGGGATAGGAGCAGAAGCTGCCTTTGCTAGCACCACCAAGGGGAGAAATGTCCTTGCAATGACAGCCTCCAACTGCCATCAGAGAGATAAACCTGAGCCTTCAGTCCTTGGCTGATAAAGGAGCTATTCTGCAGGTCATAGAACATGATTAATGCTCCTTCTAGAAATAAATAATCTCAGATAAGATTTCAAAAGCCTCTCTCCAAATAGAACATCAATGCYTAACCTGTTTTTGTCTGTTGTTTGAGGAGAGAGAAAAATATCCCTATTACTTCACTTTTGCATACTCTCCACCACAGGTGACTTTGCAACATCCAGCTCTACAATATGGTCCCTAAAGGAAGCTTATGGAGACAACCCCTATTCAGATAGCKAGAGAAAGTACCAGCGTGTGGGTGGTGGGAATACCATGGTCCTTGGGTCAACAGTAACTTCAGTGCTTTTGAAAATGTCACTCTAAATCCCTTGGTTTAAACCACCAAGGAGCATTAGTTACACACATGGTTCTGTTGGAACTCACCACAAAGCAGTGCAGCTGGTGAGGTGAGAGAGAACAAATTTGCTGGGAAAGGACAGCTCTTGGTGGGAAACACAGGGCTGCCAGGGCAAGGCAGCTCTGGCTGAAGGCACTGGTCTTTCTTTTATACAAAGATACAGTGTCCTTACYAAAACTAAAACTTACTGCCTTTAGCAGTCTTTGAACTTTGCTTGGATTCTTCTACACATTTCTGAGCCCCTGAAAGTGTGTTTTATCCCATTTCCAGTGCATCTCAAAATTTCTGTCTTGAGACTAAAATTTGGTGCTTCAGCCTAGACCTCAAATTTAAATGTGTTGCCCCTGTGATGCCTCAAAAAAGCAAACACAGACCTTCTCAGAGAAGTTCAGCTCAGTGATTCCAATGTCCTGATCTCCAAATGAGCTCCCTGATAAACACCATGGTGGCAGCTTATGGGGCCAAGACAGAACTGGTGGATTCCTATTCAAGAGCTAGTGTTAGGGCATAATTTTCATTTCACATAGGCAAGCCTCAAGTCTCTTTTCCAGTGAAACATCTCCAACCTCATGTYGTTTTCCAGGGAATAAATGAATAAGCATCCCAACAGATCTTGCCTTGAGATTTTGTGTGTCCCGCCTGCTCTGCATCTGCTGTACTCTGTGGGTGCAGCATATTTTCACCATTTCAAAAGYTGCAAATAGGTAGGAGGCTGAAGAGTTCTGTGCATCCTTAATGAAACAGACTAGGTTAGAGATGGTGGTTTAGATGTGAAAGTCTTTCTCCTGCATTATCAATTTCGTGAGCATATGGTTTTTAACCCTACCCATTTCTGAACCCTTTACAATATTCCTGAAGCAGTGTAGACCCTATTAAAACACATTTAATAGAGAGATCATTAACTCCTTAGTGGAGAGCTTAATGAAAGGAAACATCCTTCTCTTGCACCCCATCTTTGAGCTTGATATTAAATTTTCAATGGTTGACCATGTCTACTCACAGCTAACCAGCCCTCCTCCCTGACCTCCTGCACTCAGCTCTGCAAGAGAGAATCTTTGTGTTTCTATTTGTTTGGCCTTCTTCTGCCACAACTACTCTGAATACAATTCTCAAACATACACAATGTTTTGATGGGCCATACCTGTCAACACAAAGAAAATAAAAGTCTGGGTGGAAGAGCTAGGCCATGCTAATTCTTGCCCAGTGACTAACACATGAAAATGGAAAACATGCAAGGAAGATGGGCTGGYGTTCACTGAATTAGTTCAGGTACCACAGCTAATAAGATAGACCTAATCCTGTTATCTGGACAAGTGGAGCTCATGCATACCCACTACATGGCAATCGTGTGCTGCATTACTTGGGAACAGCCTGGGGAAACGTTTTTTAATTAAACTTTCAAGTTTCAAGCATGTGAGTGTTTGATCTGATCTGCTAATTTGTGCATGAGTACACAAAGAATGACAGAGGGTACCTACCCCATGTGACAAAGCATACATCATGGGAGAAACAGATAATTGAAATGGTTATGAGGTTGTTTCTAATTTAAACTTTTGCCTTCACACACCATCTTGATATATTAAATTTGATGGATTTTCAGTTTACACTCTTGAAAGGTATATTTACGCTGCCAGGCTGATATGAAACATCTCAATGTGGATAAGGACAAGGTCTGACATGTTTAAATAGCACTCAATTTTACTAAAAGCTTTGTTGCATCTAGCAGTATGCTTTATGAAATGATGCATTTCCTTTACTGTCAAGSTACCCCATGTTTTAAAGTGTTTGCACAAATTAATTCACTGACATTTTAATGGCAGTGCACCAAGGGCACACCCTCTGTTTGTTTGAATGTACTCTGAGGTACTCTGAGGCAGACAGGGAATATGTAAGAGCTTGGTTTTCAAATAAGAGCATTGCATCTCCATTTTTTTTAAGGTGCAAAATCAAAACTGCCATCGGCTTTTAATTCCGGAAAGGAAATATCTCTGCTTTCCCAGACCAGTGTTGTAAAGAAAGCCACTGAAACACCACATTATGACAAACACACACATTCTTTGAAGAGCAAAATAAGACTATAAATCAGAATTCTTTTCCATGACAGAGATAAGGAAAGAAGTAAACAAGCAAAACAAACAGTTCTATGATCAGCAGACTCACTAAAAACTGCTTTTATACTTTCTCTGGTTCTCTTTCTTTGTGTGTCAAAAAGTGGGACACTGAAAGAGTAAGTTTTGTTTGACCTTTTGACCTCCTCCTCTCACAAATGAATTTTAATATATATATATCATGGACACCTCTGTCCCACAGCTGAAACAAAAGTTGTCCAGTGAGTACAGAGGTTATTGAGACTGTACAAAGATAGGCAATAGCCCAAGCTACTGGACTACCTATGGCCTCTTCCTTTAGGAAAGGATGGGGTCACATAGGCACTTGCAGAGTGGCAGGAGAGACCTGTGGCCTCAAGTTACCTTTAGGACAAAAGCTCAGTGGCCTGCCCAGCCAGATCACCTGTCTCACATGGACAAGTCCTTTAGCATAGGATTTATGTGTTTTGATTCCTAAGAGACCAAGGCATTATCTGYTGGGGTTTTCAAAAGCCTGCAGGCTCCTAAGTTCTGTTTGGTTTGATCTTCAGAAATGAAGTTTAAGCTTAAATGGGATTTTCTGCTTCCCGCGGCTTACGCTACAGCAAGTGTGGTGCAGAACTGGAGCAGCAGTTGGCATTAAATTGAGAAGGGACATAGGAGGCAGATTTGTKTTCATCAGCTTTGTGGGTCCCCTCAGCATCCTCGGAGAATTGCCAGGGAGGGAGGCCAGCATGGACCACTACCAGGGGGAGAAGGGATGTGCAAAGACTGTTCTTTAGGCAACCAATCTTATAGGCCAAACTCCATTCCTACTGTATTTCTAGAGCTTTGGGAAGTTTGCTCAGTGTGTTCACAAACAGCAAACTCTGTTTAGGCCTTTTTCACTACAATAAATATTTCTCTTTCTATTATTACACTATTTCTTTGGTGGTCATAACAGATTTTGTTAACAAAGATAAGCTAGCTCGACTAGTAAGGTGCTAAGGGTGTAAATCGCCTGAATTTTCTGTGCTCTGGCTTTTATTCCCCTGTGTAAGTACATTGGTATTAGCACTGAGAGCAGATAGACTTTCACAGCCATGGAACTGACCACACTGAGACTCTGGCAYTGTCCTTGCAAGGGGACAGGCAGCAGCCACAAAAGCACCAAAAATCCACCCAATGTACAGTGAAGGTAGCCCACAATGCATACTCGTGAACACAGACCATCTTCAGCAAGAGGCCAACTTATTTCCCTCTTCACTGAGATGAGGAGCCCTTAGCCACAGCTTAAGTGCTCAGGGCACATAGCTCARCGCTCAGAAAAATCTTTGCAAATAAGTCCAGCAAAACCTTGGCACCATTACAGATGGGAAAAATATCTATACTGACTTTTCTGGGGTWAAGATTTCATCCTCAGTCATCACCATCTACAAGCTTTCAAATGTTGTATTTCAGGACCAATACTTGTTTTCAGTCATTGCACTTACATTATTGCCTCCCTAGAATATTTACCTGTGGTGGGCGTGTTGGCTGGGCAAGAACTGTCTTTACATATTACTAAAATATAACAATRCTCAAATTATAGGAGTTTGCTTTATGCTGTATCTGACATTATCAACATAAGGAAATGMAAAAAAGTGTATGTCAGTGTTGCATGTTTCACTGTTTCAACAGAATATATAACTTAATTTGCTGGAGTTTGACTCAGAAATGAGCTGCCCTGCATGCAGCTTGTAGACWTTGGGATTACAAACTGGAAGTAACACGCTGCTATCTAGGAATATATCAGAAACCATATCTTAAATCTAGGTCATATCCTGGCATTTACAATATTCTGCATAGGTACACACTTTGTGCATGCACGGGTAGGGAACATGTCATTCTCAAAAAAATGTTGTCAAATGCTTATGTGAGATGTGTATTTCTGAGCTGAAACTTTATCAGGACCCAGAAACCTATCAACAGCTTGACTTTGGGGGCTGAGGGGAGGTGGGAAGAATTGGAAAAGGTTGCTCTACTGTCAGTATCCTCATCATGAAGCATCAAGGGAATTGGTCTTCATTTCTCCAGTTTCTGGTAATTCCGGAAGGCAGAAAATTCTCACCAAGCTATTTAAACCCTCCATCCATTTTCAGYTGTGCTCACTCTGTCTCCCATAGCACACATTGCAGGACCCCTGGGGACTCTTCTCAGGAGGCTCAGAGCAATACCAGGCTTCACTTCAACCTCCAAGAACTTGCTCCCTGCCCACAGCTGTTGGTCAGCGCCCATGAGAAGGCAATAAACTCACAGATTGTTTTCAGAGACCCTGAACTGCACCTGGCTATACATCTTCTCATGCAAGTGGGTGCATATAAATAATTATGAATACACACTTAACAACTATTAATACAAAGATATATATATACACACATATATATATGCACATATATATATATATATATATATACACACACACACACACACACACACACACACACATATATATATATATATATACACACACACACACACACACATATATATATATATATATATATATATATATATATATATACAGAAAAAAAAAAAAGAACAATGCCTACAGAGGGGCTTCCTCAGCACAGCATTTTCACTCTAATTCCCCCATGAACAGTCTTGAGAACACAAATATTTTTTGTGATTTTCCCCAGTGGCTTTAGTGCTCTTTAAGATTTGATTTAGCAGACTCACAGAGCTTGTGCAATGGCGATGTGTTCGCTACCTGTTTTCTTTAGAAGTGTTCATCACTTGTTCATCAAATCCCTGATCTGTATCAGTGTTCTCTGAAGAAAGGATGTCAAGGTCACAAGGAAACAGAATAGCCTCKTAAGAAGTGGCTGCTAAGCAACCTGATAAAGTGATGTTCTTTTCCAGAGACAACCAATCTCTTCCAAAAGAAATACTCTCTCCCTCTTCTCACCCTATTTTTTTTAAATGTGGTATGAGATCATACATAGCAGCACAAGAGACAAGAATTTAGCATGCCCTGGTTGGTTTATATAATATCAGCTCACACTGCTCACAAACTACAAACACCCAGCATAGAATCATAAAATGCTGCCTTTTTTTTTTTTTTTCTCAAGCCTGGGCTAGCTTCTTTAAAATTATAGTTTCTGCCTTTACCTCTTTATCTCCAGAAGGCCCTAGGGTCCACTCAGGATATCAGYAGCCACTTAAGATGTGTGCAGGCAACTGTGCATATATAGAAAAAAGGGCAGGGAAGAGTATATTCCTGTGGAGACAGATGGGTTTACAGCTCCTTGGGACACAGCTTGTTTCAWCTGAATAATAATTACATTAGCCCTTGAATACCCTGAGTTGGATAGACAGGCCACCCTGAGAGACCCTGTACTTGTGTGAAGCAGAAATGGTTCAGGTCCCAAGGACTTTGTGCCCTAAAAAGATAAAAGGGTGGGAGCAAAGCAATWGGTGAGAGAAATATAAGTATGTCCAGTCTGCAGTAAAGGAATCGCTGCTGCTGTTTACTAAATGTACAACAGAAAGCCTGTTGTCACAAAAAAAATGGATGGACCACTGAACCCCTTATCCCAAACAGTGGTGACGGTGGCAGAGTCCGGTGGCAATGAGACTCCAGCAGCTGCACACCAGCAGCTCCTCACTCCACRTGGAAAGCAGAGAGAGAAAGCAAAAGGTTGCCATTGCCCTGGACCCTGACATCAAATTTTTGCTCGAGTCACTTCTCCCTCTTTAATTCAGCCCTGCAAATGCAAGGCTGAATCTTTCTTCTCTCCTTCAAATTCTGCCTTCTTACTTAAAACTTCTTACTTAGATAGAACTTACATAGGTAAGTTCCTATGCAATCATTTGTACAATGTATCTGATGCTATAGGATACTGCCCATGTGGATACTTTGTACAATGCTTTACACAGAACTCATATCCTCTGTTTTATTCCAGAATATCACAGGGTAAAATCATGCCTGTGGTAATTTCACACCCTGCCTTAACTTTTGGAATCAGGTGTGTTTATAAACATCCTTGATCTTCAGCTTAGAGAAAAGAATTGTAAGGAAAAAAACATCTGCCATATTGTCATTTTCTAATAACCATTAACATCCCTGATCCTTTTGGCATTGCAGCTTGGCAAACTTTGTCCTCAGGAGCCAGATTTGCATTTCAGATCATAGATTTCCCCAGATATACAAAGCATCCCCTTTGCCAGATCAAATCTTATAACATGGAGACTAAASTGTCTCTCTGGAGACACAAAGCCATTTTACAAGAAACCACGGGAATAGAAACCAGACCTCCTGGCTCTCAGCCCTGGGTTGCATTGATACCTAGCTGCACTGGGGTAGTGGAATCACAAATCTTGGGGAATTAAGGGGAAGGGAGAGGAGTTGAGGAAATGAACCACCTACTGTCTACAAGTTTCAGAACAGCTATGCCCCAACACCTGATCAGAGATTAAGCACCCAGGATGGAAACCTTAATGCAGCAGAATGAAACCTATTTGCTACCAGCAAATGCTACCAGAAAGATTGCTGTCCTCACTGTAACTTCTGGGTTTTTGTTGTTTCCAAGCTCTGCCAGCTGGAAAATAATTTCCACAGCTGTCATTCCTCTCTCTTCACTGTCTTAAAATATGAAAAAATACACTCTTTGTAATGGTACAGTTTCTCACATTGCTCTAACGGGTCACATTTCTAGGCACACATACATCATGAATACAAAACATGGTATTGCAAAATATGTGGGCAGCTCCTTGTTTGCTTGCATACCAAGCTGGTTTTTAGGTACAAACACAGATTTTGTGCCAAGAAACAAGGCAGCCTCATCTGAAAGCCATTTAGAAAATTGCAGTGATAGATGTCTGCTAGTGGAATTCAAATTACCCCCTTGAGAATGACATCAAAATGAGATTTTTTTTTCCTTCTTTTCTTGTTTTTAGATGTTTAGACATAATAAGTTACTCTGAAATCCAGGTGACTGATGCTAAACCTACACCAAATATTATGTTGTTGATTGCAGTATAAAAGCTGCATTGTGATAAGCCAGGTGGAGAATTTAAACTTTCAGCCTCCCAGTCTTTCAGGGAAGCAGCAGGGGGCCAGCAAGGCTTGCTGGGCTTTGCARAGCAGAAAAGCCAGATACATGCATATCTTGGRAGCAAAAGRWTTTGCTAGGAGGGAGGGAGGRAAGGAGGAAGTGAATGAAYTGGGCATCTGGCTGAGGCTGAACATACACTGAAGAAGGACACACTTCACCTCTATTTAAAGGGGTTAAGAGCTCAGCCTTCTTTAGTGTAGAGTCAAGCTCTTTTTTCATAGGAAATAGTTCAACTCTAAGCAAAAATATTTGAAATGCTGCCACAGCTGATGTCCAGTGCAAAGAACTGTCAGCAGCAGTATGTGCTAAATTCTCACATGGATCTCTGACACACCTTTTAAGAGGGCTTTTATAGTCCTACAGACATTGACCCTAAACAAGCTTTTAGGCTGTAGTCTGATTTAAACATTAGTACTATCTTTTCTTACCATCGTATCAGTATATTCTTCCAGCTTAACTTCAGCAACCATCTTGTTATGCTTCAAAAAGAGATCTCGCAGGAAATCCTATAGTAAGAAAGGAGAAATTTTACTCTCTAGAAAAATTCAAGAAATAACAATAAGAAATTAAATTCAAATTCAGCAGGGTYACACAAATCTAGTTTCACATTCCTGGCTAGTACTAGTGTCTTCAGTTTGACAAAGTTCAAATCTTTTCAGCTGAAACATGTTTTTTCGAATAAATTAGAAAATAACCAAATTTCCCCAGAGTAAGCATAATGGAATGAGTCTTAATTAACTCACAGAATAAGTAACAGATAACATAAGTCCTACAATACTTGCTAATTGATCTCAAATCAAAATATTTACCATTCAGCAAAATACTTAAGCATTCTCTTACATYTTTGCTGGGACATGGGCTGAAGCCACCCACTAAGACTTCAGCACATGGTCTGCAGCCCAATTGATGGAAGTTTTGTGCTTGCTGGCTCGAAGTATTTGAGTTATGGATTCTGAACAGGCTCTTGCCTCAATAGSCTGAGCTTTAACAAGAAATCAGTGTTCAGAAAATCTGCAGGTTCAGGATGAGATTGTGAAGAAATCCCATGGATAAAACACAATGGTTTTGGCTCTGTTTAGCTGGCAGGGGCACATGTGCAAAACCAAGGGGAGGGTATCGTTTGTGGGGCTCACTGGATGCCTCCGGGTTGTAAAGACAACTGGGGTCATGGGATGAGGCTAGGGGTAAGCAGGACATCAAGGGCAACAGCAAACCATCCTCCCTCCTGCAGGGCCCTGAGACCATGCCAGAATGCACCAGTCCTTAAACTCTTTATGAACAACCCAGAAACACCATTTGTCAACCACGTGAAAAGGCAGCAGATTGGTAAAGCTGATGAAAGAGCTTCCATTGGCATYGATGAGCTGTAGGTCAAGCCCAAAGAGATTTGTTGGAATAACTTACTTTGAGTTCACCAGCTGAAATAAATCCACTGCTGTCAGCATCATAACTGCGCCAGATCTGAATGGGGATGGATTGATACGAGCACATAAATATTGCAGTTACTCATCTGCTTGGTGATAGATTGTGAAGATTCAAAGCAGAACTTCCATAATGAGCAAGCTGTTGCATTATCCAACACATAATTAATTGTAGATKAAATGAAATAAACTTTTCACACAATAGCTCTTACTCATACTTGGATGCTGTATATACTACATGCTGCTATTACATGTTTAATGCAAACACACTGTCTATAAAAGGAAGACAATACTAAGAAACTGCTTTGCATTTCTTACCTAATTTGTACATGCAGCTTCTTTCATTGCCCTCAGTCAAGGCCGCACACAACTGGCCATTGATCTGCAGAAATCCCAGCTTCCATGTGAAATAAAAGTAACTGCATGTAGTCTTGGAAAAATTAAAATTCTGTGCTGGGATATTTAGGGGCAAAGATCAGAGGAAGACTGGGAAAAGTTATATGGGCTTGTTGACCAAGTATGGAGGTTTCCTCTGACAGTCTAATGTTTCAAGACTAAATGGGGCTTAAAATGTGCCCGGTCTGACCTCTTGATCTATGCTGTGCTGCAGGTGAGGAGCTGGAGGGGTGAATTTATGAGTGGGGAGGTTTTGTCGTGGTGGCATGACTGATAGGCGGCTGAGAGCATTTGGGAAGTGTAATGAACTCTCTGGGTACCCTTGCTCCAGTCCCAGCCAGCACACCTCTCTTTTGCWGGTGTAAATAATGTCAAACCTTCTCCACCTGAACAGGTCTGAACATGTTTTGCTTGAACAATACCCATCTATTTCCCATGCCGTGTTCTACAGAGGGCAGCAGGGCTGGTGTTGAAGAAGCTGTTGGTGTGCAAGGGGAGGTGGYGATGTGGAGATACAGACCCGCATGAATTCCACACTGTTGTCCAAGGGAGTTTCCCGTCGGAAAAGTAGTAGGAAGTTCTCGTCATCCGGCAAGATCATGTTTGCAAGCTGGATAAAAAACATCAGAAAAAACACCCACAACTAAAAAACAAACCCACVCCATGACAGTAAAGAAAATAAAACACTTGGGTGGCTACTGAGCCAATATGTGAAATATTGGCATGTTTCTCCCCTGGAAATAAACTCCAGACCAAGAGATCTGGCGAATGTAATACCCCGTGAGTCACTTCCTCCACACCCAAGCTCAATCTCCCAGATCTCCTAGGTCTTAGAATCATAGAATGGTCTGGGTTGGAAGGGACCTTTAAAGGTCATCCAATCCAAACYCATGCAATGGAGAGGCACATCTTCAACTAGATCAAATTGTTCAGAGCCCCACCCAATCTGACCTTTGATGGGGCATCAACCAACTCCCTGGGAAACCCCTTCCAGTCCTTACCACCCTCATTAAAAAAAAAGTCTTCCTTAATCTACTCTTAATCTACCCTCTTTCAGTTTAAAACCATTACCCCTTGTCCTATTCCTACAGACCCTATAGAAAGTCTCTTCTAATTCTTCCCTCTATAAAAGAAATCCTGGGCTGGGATTGGATAGAGATACCTCCTGGATTTGCAAGCGTCCATCTGTGGTGACATYGTAGACAGACATGAATTGCTCCTTCATCCTCTGAACTTTTTCTTCTGTGATGGTGCTCTGCCATCGGGAAAAAAAGTGCATGAAAATTGCTGAGGGCACTAGAAGACACTCCTGGAGGAAATCTCTCCTTACTCATAGGTAATCACCACAATCATCACATCCTTACAGTTAGGGGTAATGATTTTAAAAGCCCACAGACACACCACTGTGGATGAATTTTTGGAAATAAGTCCTATACATATCTTTGTAGCTATTAAGYTTTCAGTTGGAAGAGTAGTGTTTGGAAACCCCAAAATATTTCAGTGACACCTGYTTCTTTAGCCAACTCTATATCACTGGGGTTTGGTTCTGTTCAAGAGTGTGTAACACCAGTTTCCATYTTGCTTGTTTTCAGCTTGCTTTTCAGGAAGATATCCTTATCTTTGAATGACATCTCTGCAGTTCATTAGATCATCAGCCTTGAAAGGTGTCAGTGGAATTAGATTGTTGCTTATTATTGCCTGTCAGCTGGTTTAAGACCTGGCACCAAGCCCTGTCAGTGTTCCTGCRTTAATAGCATAGAATTTCAAGCAACTGACATCCCCTTTGTATCTGCTCAACCTTGTAATCGATTTATACATAGAGAGAAGTTTTCTAGACCTGTCAGGTTATGTGTTTTGACAGGCACTGCTGTGACARGTGAAATACAATGCTGAGGTTCATCAGGCACCGTTTCTTTAGCAGAAACCATGAGAGTACCCATTCTGACTGCCCTACACTAAATACAATTTCCTCATCCTGTGAAAAGGCTTCTGGTCACATGAACTTTGTGGCTGGGCTGGGAAGCTCACCTAGTTAATCTTGCCTTAGCRATTAAGTGTTAAGCCCTCAGTACCCACGAGCAAGTTCTGGCTTCTCTCCCAGTTGTGTGAGAGGTGGCCCTCTCACGGAGGGGATAGAAGGAAGGGAAAAGGATTACCCACTCTGCTTTGTGGCATACCTTTGTAGCAAGTTTTGTAAGAAAATAACYTCTTCCCAACGCCTGAATAAAAGTTCTTCAAAGTTTTTGTCATCTCTACAACTGGGTGGATTAAGGACTACAGCTATTCCTTCAAGGGTCTTCTAATACAGTTTCTCATTTTTTTCCCAGCTGTTATTGAAGCTCCATTAGGTTGCACATTCCCTTTTTTATTAATGTGACAGAAGAGCATGATGACTTCTAAAAATTTACTCAGTGCGCAGCCTCATGCAATGTAGCCTTTGGAGTGCATCCTTGCTGTGTGACACCCAAGGGCTGGCAGCTCCCAGTTTGGAGATGAAACACCCAGCAGTGATCCCACACAGAKGCACCCAAGGTGGCAGGCCTTTGGGGAGGGTCTGAGTGGATCCCAGGGCATGGCTGCAGGACCCTCCCACAGTTGGTGTCCAGCAAGTACTGTGGGCTCAGGTATTGAGGGCAYAGCACATCACTGAGCACATGCATTYGGTTTTCTTTCCCCTTGGCATTATAACTCACCTTCACGCTATTTAAATTGCCTTCTGACAGTGCCTTGACACATTGAGACACTTCCTAGGAATTAGGCAAGGCTAGCAGTTGCTGACTTCTATAGGCTTGCAAAGTACTCTGAAATCATCCTCCTCCGTGCCTGGTAGGATCAGTTATTTCCAAAACAATAACCATAGTTGATACTTGAAAAGTGTGYAGTGCCTTTCAAACTAGTCATTTGTTAAAATGCTTATTGATCAACTTGGGGTCAGCTACTAGCCACCACTTCATTGAGCTTTCTGTGGCAGGGACACTGTTGTCTGCATAAAGATAGCATGGCCTCATCTTTTTTATAAACTAATTTTAACTATGGGATACATCAAGTAAACACCTGGAATACTTACGATATTTACAAAGCTCCAAAAGCTTTTAGTCCAAGGGGTTACACTACAGTGGATTTTTCAATTTGGACAATCTTTCTTCATAGATATTCTATTTATGAAACACAACTGGTAATAATTCTACCAAAACCCAGACTTTATTCATAAAGAATGAAAGACACTGCACAAACTGGCTTTCCCAAGATGCATGTTCAAGACAAAATTATTTGTATATTACAAATTTTTACACTAATAATCCTACACCTCATGTATCATTTGAAACCATTATGTTTCAAAGGAGACCTTTATATTTACGAAAAAGCTTAGAATACAAGAAAAAAGAAGAGATCAACTAAGACATATGCTAAGCAGAAACTAAGGGTGGGAGACCTGGTTTCCGAGATCGACCTACTGGTGGTGCAAACCACTAGCTTGCTCTGATTGCCTTTCTATTTCAAAAGCATTTAAAAAGATGGAAACCCCCATAATCTACAAGATCTGTTCCCCTTGTCCAAGCAAGGACATGATCTTCAGACTCACCAGCAAAGAGGCTGGAAGTGCACAAGAAGTTKGGAGRGGACACAGCCAGGMGAGCTGACCCCAACTGACCCAAAAGATATACCAAACCATACCATATGGTGTGGTTCTCAGTATATAGAGCTGGGGGAAGAAGGAGGAAATGAAGATGTTTGGAGTGTGGTGTTTGTCATCCCAAGTCAGCATGATGGAACTTTCCTGGAGATGACTGAACACCTGCCCGCCCCTGGGAAGTGGTGAATGAATYCTTTGTTTTGTCTTGGCTTGTGCCCTTGGGTTTTGCTTTACCTATTAAAATGTCTTTATCTCAATCCATGAGTTGCTCACTTTACTCTTCTGATTCCCTCTCTCATTCCACTGGGGCATGAGTGAGTGAGTGAGTGAGTGAGTGAGTGAGTGAGTGAGTGAGTGAGTGAGTGAGTGAGTGAGTGAGTGAGTGGCTGTGTGGGGTGAGCTGCCTGCTGGGTTAAAGCATGACATAACAAATAGCAGAATACAAAAATGTGCTTCTTGTCTCATAAGAGAGAACGGGGGAAAATGGCTTTCCAGCAAGTAAACGTCTGCAGCTGAGCACATCTTTCTTCATCAGAGAGTGCTGTCTTGATTATGTTGCTTCTCTCAAGCAACAGACCCTTAATCATTTTCAAAGGTTTGCAAAGCTTTTCCTTTTGTGAAGGTTTAAGTGAATGTTGTTGCATCCTTTCCAGTCACTGCCTGTACAGAGAAGATTTTCTTGTAATTCCTTCTTTTCCCTGGTGCATGCACCTCCCCGAGTTTGTGGATGCTGTGTGGTTTCCAAGGGCTGCTGTGTGTTCTCACTGTCCAGCCAGGAAAGAAATCCTTACTACTTACCATGAGGAGAAAGCCATGTCATTTTTATTCTCATAAAAGAACACAGTTTAAAATATTGCCATGACTTTGTTCACATATTTCTCAGGGTTAACAAGTAAATTTCTTACTGTGGAGGCTCTTCCACAGAACTTTATAGAGAAAAGCTTCTGTGTTTCGAGTTGCCATAACTAATGAATTTTCTGCCTTTTTCCTTTCTGTGTTCAGTCTCCATCTTCCCTTTGGGAAAACATTTTAGAAATATTTAGCATCACAAAGGTAACCTGGTTTTTAATAGTGTTTGTAATCACAGAAAGGGCATGAGCACATATTTTTAAAATTTCTACAGCATTTAATTTCTATGTCATGGCTGGTTATGATTGTTTGGAAACCTGGCTATAATCTGTCTGCTTTGTTAGTCCATTCCTTTTATATTGTTGCACTTTTTGCCTCAGGCTGACTAATTAAATTTTTGCTCCTTAAGGGTTTCATGTGCTTGGCAGAAGTTTGCCTTGATGAAAACACAACTATGAGTCATTTGATTTGTGGGGGCAAAAAGAGAATTTATGGAGCACTGCAGAGCCTTTGCTACTTGGTGAAATGGGATATCTCATTTAATTCCTGCTGGTCAAGACAATCCTGTTATAAACTGATGTATTTTTCCCTCTTGATGTGGTTTTAGAAGAAAGCCACTATATCGATAAGGGCATAAAAAAAAGATGAAATTACATTTAAGTGACAATTATACTCTATTTCTTGAGAAAAAAAACCCTAGAGAACCCCAGAAATGCTGGATCAAGCACACATATCTTCTAATGTTTCAGCCAAATATGATTGAAAGGCCAAGGGTCCCACAGATATCGAGTTCCTACAAGAYCTATGAAAATAAATTGTGTTTGCCAAGAAAGAGAGTCGGAAAACAAAATCAATAACTATTATCATGCCAAAAGACACAAAGTACAGATATGAGGCCAGCAAGGACCAGATGAGAGACACTGGTAACATACACTTTGACTTTAGAAGATGAACCTTTCATTTTTGGGCCAAACRTTTCTTCATTATAAAAACTAATCTCATGATTGACTTTGTTTTCCCCATGCAGTTGTGGATCAGATTGCATGTATAATTGTGGGATATCACCCTATATCTCCAGGGCCAATTTCTCCTTTGGGCCGATTATGCTCACTTAACTTCAYTGCTATCACTTGAGAATTCAGCCCTGTGCTTTGATAAGGATTTTGGTTAGGATTTACTGTATTCCTGCACACTACAATGGATGAGCACTTATCCTGTCATCTTACAGTGCATTTTAACTCTCATCTGCACAAATACAGGAATGATTTTTTTTTTCTGTAGTAGACACCAGCATCCAACAAAGGCTACTGCAGCCTTTCTTGTACCATCATGATTTTGTGGTTAGGCTTTGGACAGGTTCTTTGTTCTGTCCTTTCTGCTAGGCTGTAAGTTGTTTGATGTGCATTTGGGAGATGAAAGAAAATTGCGTATTTTTTACCAAGGGCATGTTGAGCTTGCATTAAGAAACACTTCAAGGCACTTCCATACTTTAATGTAGAGGAACAGGGAAAAGAAATGGCCAGGCTCATCAAAGCTGATAAAAGCCCCACCTAAAGAAATTACTCTATTTGCTAATAAACAGAAAGAGAGAATGGTTTGKGTTGAAAGGAACTTCAAAGATCATCCAGTTCCAACACCTTCCCCTAGACCAGGTTGTTCAAAGCCCCATCCAACCTGGCTTTGAACACTTCCAGGGATGGGGCATCCACAGCTTCTTTRGGTAACCTGTTCCAGTGTCTCTCTGCTCTGACAGTAAAGAATTCCTTCCTAATATTTAAATAGCCAGGATTACCTGGGGGTTAGAATTCTGAAGTAGTCTGGATATGGATGCAAGCTGATTGCTTTCTGCTAGGGGTCTTCTTGCTGTTGACCTGTTGGTGCCAGCGATCTTAGGTCTCTTGGGGTGGCAAAACATAGGGGAAGTTCTGCTTTGGATGTCTTTGAGGCTGGCTGATATTTTGGCCATTGAATTTTATTTGACTAGCTGTTGCATTCCTGACCATACTAAATTATACACATTATTTAGATAGACAATGCAGTGTGCAAGGCAAGGATGAAGTGCAAGAGTAGCTGGAGGGTGCTTCTATTCTTTGGAAATAAAAAGCAAAGACAAATCCTTAATGGCTGCTCAGAGTGAGCTCTGKAAGATTAACTTCAATCCCTTCCAGTCATAACTATCCATGTGGTTTTCAGGCAGGAGGGATWATAACAAGGCTAATACCTGTCTTGTCTGATCAAATATATACTTCAACAATTTTTGTGGTCTCCTACACACTTACAGTTAAGTGAAGGCAACCATCCTTTATCTRAAAGTCTTCTATCTAATTTGAGTACAATTTAAGCAAAGTGAAATACCTTTCTGAGAAAGTCTTATGGCAATGCGCATTTCTCTCCACATCTGTCAAGACATCATTGGTTTTATAGAAACCATCAGTAATCTAACCCCAAAATTTATATCATTCCTCTACCAAATTCTTATCTAATTATTATGAGAGCATACATAGAGCTTCATTAGCACTACAGAAAAAAAGTAAGAAGATCCCAAATGGTCTTGAAACAGAAAGAAAGATGTACAGGAATATATGRGATAAATGCAGGGGCTGTAGTTCCTGTTCTAATAAAATTAATTCTTTGATGCTGAAAGAAACTGCCCTTTCCACTGAACTTTCACCTCAGTATAAAAACTTGTAGAAAATGCATGGAAAAGAGGGCCATAATGTAGAAGAAAGAGGTTTATGAAGGAGCAGAAGAGAGCCCAGGCAGCTCACAKCAGCCATGCAGTAGGAGGTTGGAAGCTGGAGGCTCAAATGGTTAGAGAGAAGTCACAGGAATGTTAAGAGACTGGACAAGSTGGATAATACCAGCAGCTCAAAAATGTAATGCTGGTGTGAGGCTGAATTACACACACCTAGAAACTGAAGGCGTTTCTTAGGAATGGGATAAAACATAATAGACTAGACTAGACTAGAATATTCCAGTTGGAAGGGTCCCACAGCCATCTAGTCTAATTGTCTGACCACTTTGGGGCTGGACAAAAGTTATAGCATGTTATTAAGTGCATTGTCCAAATGCCTCCAGCAATMACCCATTGCTGGAGGAGAAGTGACAGGAATTAACATCTGGGATTTGGTTGGTTTACTACAGGTCTACCTTTGTTGCAAAATTTTCCCTTTCCCCCTCAATTGYTGATGATTCAATAGAAGACAATGAATTGGCCTCCATCACTGCATGCTCTTACAAGTTTTTTCCTTGCTCAGAGTTGTCAGGAAGTGCTGTGTCTCAGCTTCCCAACAGGCTCCTTTTTGCATTGTTTTCCCAGCTGCTCCCATCCCCTGGCATTTARTATCAGCTGGGGATGCTGCAGAGTAGTTGGGAAGAAAAACAGAGCTGAAGAACCATAGTGGTCATTAAGAAAAATAACAGCTTAGAGAGTGCAGGCTGAAAAAATATAATTATGAAGCCATTCTCTATTCAAGCAGAGACAACTTCCAGTGCTGATAACATTATTTATCACTTGTGTGGCACTTCAGACACAGTCACTAATTAATCCTTGTGACATATCTGTAAGTTATGCAGTGTATTGCTTTCTCCCCCTTTTACTATGCAAGGAAGCAGAGACATTAAGAACTCAAAGGAGTAAAGGTCACGATGAGTGGTACAGCAGAGATGCTCATCCCAGCTCACTGCTTCTATCATGGAGGACACTTTTTTTCWGTAGGGCAGTAAAACCAATGCAGAGGGGACCCTTTAGCCCTCCTGCTATAATCACAAGCCTGTACAAAATAAATCATGTGAGAAAGATAACAACAGCTCAATGTTGTTAGACAAACTCATTGTACAAAGGTAGTAGAGAGCTTTGTTTAATCTGGTGCAACAAGTGATCCCCACACCCAGGGGAGTGGGCAGAGGACTGCTCTCAGCCTCCCAGAACAAAGCCCCCCTTGGGTTTTCTGCCACAAAGACAGCCTGCTCTACCTGCTGCCTGCCATGTAGCTTTGTCTCCAATATTACCAGGGTGGAAATATTGCCAAAATTACACAAGAAAGCTAGAGGGGAAAAAACCAAAAGCAYTTGAGACCCTGCCTGAGCATCCTGAAAGTTAGTGAGCATTGTATTCCAGAATCAGCTTGTTTCTTCTATTTAATAGGAGGAGAGCGAGTAGTTTCTTTTTCTATTCAGTTTGTTAAGCTATTTCTTTTAATGGCAAAACTTAGATAGCAGAAGCAAAGAAGACACAAGCTGGATCAGGGTGCTGAGTTAAGCTGGAGTCACCCAAGTAGGGACTTCTAACAGGCAAAARTATTACTGATTTCTTAAAGCAGGAAGTTTATTGCTAGAAAGCCCTCATTTTGCAAGTTCTGTGCACTGGTAACTGACACAATGTAATGGAGCTCACATYGATATCAGCAAGACCACAAAAACTGCTGTAACACATTGGGTTTGCAACTCAGCTGGTGTGGTGCTGCCCCAGAACCTCATATGAAGGATGCACAAGGATAGTTATGGGTAATACTGGGGTTTAATACTCCCATTCTTAGGAAGCTGCCTGCAGCATGAGATGCCTGCTTAACCCTCTGTTTTACTGCTATTTGCAGCTCACTCCAGAGAGCTCCCTTGGAGGTCCCTTGCTGCAGGTACCCAGTGCAGCACTGAGCTCTGCAGCCTCATTTTAAGAGTCTCCTTCAACATCTCATGTTTGCTGTCACTGAGTTTGTTTGAGCATGCTTTGTGCTGCTGATTCAGTACCCCAAGACYAGCAGCTCCCAATTTCACCTTTTGTTCCTGGGTAAAACAATCACGAGCTTTCTGATTTCTCTCTAAATCAGCTTTTCTGTCCCTAAAGATTCTTATTGCTGAATCTTTTTTGATTTGTTTGAAGTCTTTTCACATGCYTATCTGTTCATCTAGCCATCCATGCTCTGAAAGACATTTCTCCAGACACTGCCAATATTTCAATTCAAATTTACTTGCAAATTAAATAAAAACATGCTTAAAAATGACTCACAGTTTCTATTTCTCCTTTTTTCTTTTATTTTTTTTTATTTTTTTAATTTTGGCCCTGAAGATCCAGGAATACTAATTGGCATGTAAGTGCAATTTTGATTTTACACTTGATACTCATGGATTTATGCTCTTTATCAGCTACCTTTTCTCTCTTCATTAATTACTTTTTGCTTAAAGGATTTGTTTCATTTCTGGCTTTTGGCACACCTTCTCCTTCCATATGGAAGATGTTTCCTCCTTATGCTATCTGGGCACATGCTATGTAGTGAAAACATTAACATATTCTTTGTATACTTCTGAGTGCTGGCCTAAGTGGCAGTATTTCTCCTTCACTGGAGGTGACATTCACAGGCAATGSATGATCTGGAGTTAAGGAAACCAGCCCCTATAGACTGTCGTGCAACTTCTGGTTGTACTGAGATGCAGAGAGTGAGAGAGGGGAAATGCTATCAAAAAACAGGGAAGAAACCCAGAAACACTGGGGAGCCAAATCTGGATCTTAGAAGCAACAGAATTGACTCTCATTTGGCTTCTAGCCATTTGTGGCAATATAGACATAAGCTTTCTTCCTAAGCACCATTTAAAATTAATGACAGTTTATTTGTTAAAAATTGACCTGGGAAAGAAACCTATCACATTAATAAAACTATTCAGCACAGGCTTGAATAAATAAACCATGAACATTGGCCTCCCTCTCAGCCAGCCAGGCTRTGTGCCTGTGCTTTTTTCACTTGTTTCTACTCAACAACAGTAAATTATCTTCTCTCCATGCYGCCAACCAGCTCTTTCAGCGGCTGCCAACTGCGATCTCACCTCGACCAGCAGCTGTTGGGCTGGAAATAACTGATCACACTGCTCAGGTGACTGCACTTCTTGTTGTACCTGCTTAAATGCCACTCTGTTGCCAAGAGAAAAGCTCTTCACCTCGGGATTACTAGGGAAGCCAGCAATCAGGGAACAACAAACACAAATCATCTCTCAGCTTAACTTTTTCCTTGGACTTGATGCACAGCTAACACAGCATAATACTTACTTCTGGTCCCAGTTTCTCCAGGAGATGATGAAAAAAAWTGTCAAGCTCCTTCCCTTCTATGTAACCATTGTCTAAACAAAAAGCAAATATATTAATGGTCAGGAGTACTGCCCGAGTTCCAGGAACCATGTCMTGGGCTGCATGCAGGGAGCCCAAGGCTTCACGGTCAGGATCAGAGGTGGGTGCCCTGCCCGCTCAGAGGAGTCCCATGCCCTGTGCAATTTCACCTGTTCGCTTCTGTGCGAGGGCTGGGTGCMGCTGCGGGGCTCCCTTCAGAGTTTTCCTTACAGAAAACTTTTCAGAAACAAAAACAAATCCACAAACCGGGRCCGAAAGAGAGAACAGCAGATGAAACGGGGAAGCGACGAAAAGCGGAAAGCTTTTGGGGTGAAAAGGGGGATTTACAGCTGTGATGTTAATGGTAAGGAAGAATAGGGATGGTCGAAAGGAGCTGCAGGACCTCGTGAGGGTGAAGCTCGGACATAAACAAGCAAGCCATACACAAGGGCAGGCACCCACACTGCACCCACCCTCACACGCACCCCGGCGGTCCCCCTGTCCCCCACACGGGCAGACCCCCGCACGGCACCCACCGGGACAGCACCCCCGCCCCCTCAGCCGCTCCCCCAGCGTGTCCCCACTTGCCGTCGCCGTCGCAGCGCCGCCAGGCCCCGAGGAAGGCGGCGGCGTCCAGGCGGCCCTCATTGCCGCTCTCCATGGTGCTGCCGCCTCCCGCGGCCCTCGCCCCTCACTCGGCAGCGCCGCCTCCGCCCCGGCCCGGCTTTGAGGGCGGCGGCCCCGCCCCGGGGGCGGCCCCGAGGGGGTCGCGGGGGACAGTCCCTCCTTAAATCCCCCCTTAAATCCCCCCTTAAATCCCCCCTTCCCGGGGCTCGTCCCACCGCCCGCCCGCCCGCGCACTCGGCTGTGCTCCCACACACGGAGCTCCGCCGTCGAGCGGGGCTGGAGCTGCCCGACCCCGCGGCCGCCGCTTCGGAAGAGCCGTCGGCCCTTGCAAACGATCTTTAAAGTTTCAAACCTCCCCGAACGAAGGTAGAAGTGCTGGAGGGAAACGTGAGGCTTCAGGGAAGGAGTTTTTTAAAACTTTTAACTCTCCTCCTCGGTTTATGAAAGCAGAGCAGCAGCAGGCAGAATTCTCTCACCTTCTCATTCCTCACAGCCATCGGGAGGGTTTCCCTCGCCGGAATGAAGAGCCATCGGATGAAGATGGACAGCAATCTGCATCGTCTTCCTCCTATAAATACTAATCAAAAGGACAAACCGTGGGGTTCACGGTCTCGGTGCTGATAGAGCATCATATTCATGGTAGCCCTGCTTGGGATTTGATTTGAATGTTACCTGTGCATTCACCTGCAGTGATTTCAGGCACTGGGATTGGGCTGTGTGTCTCCGAGTGCTACAAGAATCATTATTATCTCCTTTGAGACTCTTTACAGATAGTTTCTTTCCAGATTGCCTTTGATTCAACATATACACATTTCAATTTTATTCATATACTGATTGCTTTAGAGAGGCTTTCAGAAGCAGCAGAAAAGGCATTTAGAAAGTATTTAATGTTCACCTTGAGCAGGTTTCTAATTGATCTGAGGGAAAACCAAAAAACCTGAAGAACTGAGTTGTGTTTTACTCAGGAAATTCTTTCAGGGAGATCACAACAGACATCACACAGCAATGTCCAGCTTTTCCAGTGTGCAAAGAAAAAGGAGATGCTGTAAAGCTGATGTGTTTAAACAGCAGCATGGGAATATCTCAGTACAAGGATTCCCTGGACAGCAGCCTGAGATCACCCTTGAACCTCACAAAAATTATTGACAACACCTTAACGCGACAGCAAGGCTGAAAGCACGCCCGACTGTGCTCAGGTGCAGAACCCCAGAATGGGAGAGGAACTCATTAGGTAATGACATGGAAAGGTCTACATTTTTAGGGGACACCTGCCAGAGTCCCTCGCAGGCAAGACCAGAGTCACTCCACAGGTTTCCCTGTCCTTGCCTCACTGCCAAAAGTCACACCTCACCTTGGGGTGAGGGCTTCCCCATGCAMCCCCTCCTGCAGTCTCTTCATCCCAGAGTTTCCCACCATGGCTCCCTGGCAGTGGTGSCCTCATGTGCCCCATGGGAGCTGACTGATCTCCTGTGTGGGATAAGGTCACCTGGCACTGCTCCATGGCACTGAAGAGCACATTTGGCCCTGTCTCTCTTCCCAGGACYCAGAGCACATCTGCCCCAGACCAGGAGCATCCTGATCCAGGTTTATCRGTTTCTAGTGTGGTTTGGAACCCAGCTTTGGAAACCACCACCGAGGCTGATAACCAACAAGGTCCCTTGGCAGTATGATCATGACAAGTAGTTTCATATTGGAAAATATTTTTAACAAAACTAACTTAAGAGGAAACACTACACAYTTTGAAGTATTTTTCAAGTGGAAGCACTCTGCCATTTGGCAGGGGTGGAGACAGTGAGGTTTTGTGGGATCAGATGTAAAGCCAGGGCAYTGAGAGGAGCTTCTCATAGCTGGATCTCCCCCATGCCCTCACAGGAGGAAGAGCAGGTGAGAAGTAACACCTCAGTGAAACTACCAGTATTTATTCAGCATCTCACACAATTCCAGTGAAACCAGGTGCAGGATGGAGATGAAAATAGGTCTTGAAGCTTAAAGGACCCTCACAATAATTCATTGTTACCTCTGCATGAGGGTGTGGATGATATGTGTCCATCCTTGTCATCCCACACCCTTTCAGTGCTGGCAGAGAGAGGTTTTGATTTCACACAGCRGCAGAACATATCTGCAAAGGGGTAAAAAGGAGCAGAGATGATGGATTCCTCTTCTGTTTGCACCAGCTTTGCTTTCTCCACACTGAAATACCCTATAGAATCCTCCACTGAAATACTCTATTGATACAGGGGCAACCCCATAAATGCACAGCTTAGCTGCTCTGCCCCACCTCGTGCATCACACAAAATGAATGTAGGGTTCTTGGGGGTGGAATTCCAAAATTTAGCTCAAAGTGACTGGAACCAGCTTAGCTGAGCAAAATCTCAGTCTACAGCRAGGATGGGGCTATCCTGCTGCATGGCTAAAATGGGCTCAGCTTCTCTGGTTGCTTTAGGTGACTCAGTAAAGCCTTAATGAGGAAAAAGCCAAACTAAACAAAAAACAGGTCAGAAAACTTTTTGCTCATCCAGTTGGACTTTCTGTGGAACACTGCAGATTTCAGCATAGTGAACTGTGGATCTATGGGCATTAGTATAAAGCAACACACTGATGATTGCTGTGTGTTCAGCTCACGTATCAAACTCAGCCACCACTCTGCGTTGGCTTGTTTCCTTAGMGGAATAAATAACAATTAAAGGTAGGCAGTATATTAAAAAAAAAGTAATGAACTTTTTTGATTAAGGGCTTTGGCTTCCGCTTTGCACTCTGCAGTAATGCTCAAGGTTGAAGATCTCAAATCCAAGTTTTGAAAAGCTTAAAAAAAAAAGAAAACAAACCAAGTGTATTCACCCTGACCACAGATGCACTTGGCTCTTATATGAATGTGCTTAAGTAAGTGCCTTGAGGCTGGAAGCATTTGCACAGCCATTGCCTGGCCCTGCTGTGGGTCAAGGAACCCTCCAGCTGAGGACACCAGCAATGCTGTATTATTTAATTGATCTTGATAATCAATTAATAAATGACAATTTTTGCACGTAAAGAGCAAAATAAGGAGCACGCAGCCAAACCCTAGGTTGGGCTAGCTTTGTAGAAAGGCTTAATCAGGCAACTGTAAATGGGAAAACATGGGTAAAAATGCAGATTGCTGATTTGGAAACAGAAATAAGTGGCAGCTGACAAATGCCTCATTGTTCAGGCCAAACTCAAAGTATTGATGTGAAATGAAACATTTGGGTTTCCATGAACAGGAGAACAAAAAAAAAAAACAAACAAAATATCTGGATTTGTGGCATGACTTTATTTCTCCCTTTACAGAAGAAAATTCCAAATACATGCAGACACAGGTAAATGGAAATAATTGTCCTCAGCAAATGGCTTCAGCTTTGCACTGACCAGAGACACTGAGGAAGCCAACAGACTCTTCTTTCCAATCTACCCTCAGATGGGTACAAGCTGCTTATTAGCAGCAGATCTTCACCTTCTGACAAAGATGTCCTTCTCTTGCCCCTCCGTCCACCCTGCTCCTTCTCTCTGGAACATTCCATATTCCAGCCATCAGCTGGGCTAGATCTTGGATCCATCTTCCTGGTTCAGGTGGTGCAGAGTGTGTATGTTCAGGGTGCAAAGAGCTACAGTGACAATTCAGATACTGACAGATGGTGTGACACAAAGACTATCATCCCATAGTCATTTCCATCTGCAGATTCCCCCCAAGGCCAAGTTTTTCCAGCCTTCCCACATGCAGCACCCCAAACTGTGAGGCTTCAGTTCTCTGTCATCTTCTTCATTTTGGACCAGCACTGGGATCCCTTGAGTGTTACAGGGAAGCAGCCAACCTCTTCCCAAAAGGATTCCACTGAAAATGAGGGGTCTGGACTCAGGCTATCAGAAGGGATACCTAAGAAGAGATTTCCCAAAGGAAAATCTAATATTTCCCCCAGCTGCATGCTGCTCGATGCTATCCAGACAGAGACTGCTGTCTGAGTTACAGTTAATGACTTTCAGTCTATRGCTAGAATTTAATGTTGTCTGAATAAAGCCCAGGCTGTACAGCCTYCATGCCATTCTTCTCTACCTGCTGGGTCTGATCCACCTAAGCAAACASGAAGGGAAGGAGGCATTCCTGGAACGATGCTAAACAGAGATTACAGAGTTAATTTGACTCCTCCATTCAGTGAAACCAAATTGGATTTGCTAAGATACCAGCCCCTCTCCTGCCTTCCCTGGCTACTATCAATCTAATTAAATACTCTTTCTCCCATGCAGCTTTTTTTCTCCTTAGTTCAACTTACTGGAAAAGCAGAAAAAACAGGCTCTGAAGGATTKGGTTCGGGGCTAGTTGGCAGAATTCATCACAAGTAGCCAAAGCAGCATCAGCACAGARGCATCAGAGCAAAGACCTCAACACATGGCTGGGAGAGGCCATGGCAGCATATCTGCTTTTCCATACAGGCTTCCCGCAGATGGGCACTTGGAACCTGCATCTAGTAAATCCCTAGGACAGCTGATGTAGGGGTGTCAAAGGCAGAGGGGCTTTCTAATCGGGAAGACTCTATCTGCAGGAGCCTCTTCAGTTTGCTGTGGGATATACCATAACAAAATACATCCTGTAATAAAAGATCCCTCTTAATGACACCTTCATCTTCTGTGCAGAGACTCACAGATTGTTTTCTCTCTACTTGAAAATACAGGGTCCCACTGTTCCACTCTTTGRTACTTGGCATGGAGGCAGTTTGCACCCCAGGACAGTCACAGCCCTTGCCCCTGTAGGATCTCCCAGATGCAGCAGCAGCAACCACAGGTGAGAGGGCACAGGGAGGTGAAGAGCTGGCATCCTGCTCCTGGTTCCTGCCCAAGCAAGTGCCACAACCCAAGGATYGCCTTGTCCCTGGCTGTGTGCTGATGGAGAACTGACAACTCTGTCCCAGAGTCAGAGGAAAAGAGGATTTTATCAGAAACTCAGCCATTGCCCTGCACCAGCCTTTCTCCACCAGCTGGGATTTCTTCTCTCACTGCACGTGACACTGGAATCTCTGAGGTGTCTTG